CACACACACACACACGTTAGGCCCCCTCAGTGCTGCCTCCCTATCACCCCACGGCATTTGTTGTTGAACTTTCTGGGGAGGGTGTGTATTGCAGGACTCCCCGTCCTGCTGGGGCTGCTGTGAGATCAGGATGAGCCCTGGTTATGTCAACCATGAGTTCTTGGTAACAAACATAGAAGCAAACGCTTTATTTAGTTTAAAACATCACAACCAAATCCACTTTGTCAGTGTGGTACAGAACAACGGTGAGCAACGGTGATGCGCGAGCTCAGTGCTGGTGTGTCACGGCGAGGGCCAGCACCCCCGGGCAGGCTCTGCCTGGAGGACTTCGCCCCCTCTGCCCGCAGTTTCTTCTATGCCCTTGCTCTTTCTTCACTTCCACAAGGACATTCCTCCTGGGCTTTTCTTCAGGTCAGAGAGAAGCCACGCGTCTTTTCTAGCCTCCTCAGAAAAACTGGGAGGGGCTGAGCCCCACCAAAAAGCTCCAACAAAGCCTTTAGCTAGACTGCTACCTGGTCCCCCCCCCCATCTGCTTCTTGTTCCCGCTAAAACCTGCAGTGTAGCAAGACGCCGGGGACTCTCTTCCTCAGTGGCTCCCACTCCCCAGCCCAGGACGTCTGTGTCCGGATGAAAGCCTGGCTCAGTGGTTCCTCCCCAGGGATCCCGAGGGGGAAGCGCCTATTTCCCAAGCCCTTCCCCTCACTCCAGCTGCGGCACCTGGACCCCTCTGAGGACAAGAGAAGCCTGTCTGCACAGACCCTCCCCAGGGTGACAGGAAGGAGCTGCAAGTTCAGGGCTCCGCTCCATGTGACGGGAGTCAGTCCACCATCTGGCAGGGCCCCCGGCCTGGACCTCGAGTGTCACACACCAGCCTCCCAGGTGACTGCGGGGTAGGATAGGAAAAAAATAGGCTCTTTTTCTTCTAGGGCTTTAAGAATCTGGACTACTATTTTATTGAATTTGAATTTTTACAACTCTAAGTCCATTTCAAACTCCTTTTGGATTCAGGCAGTGCTTCCATCCCACTTTGGAAGGAGACATAATGTAGATTTTATACTCTTGCCCACTCTGCTTTGGGTCCTAAGGTGGAAATAGTGCTGACTAGCAAGGCTAATCATCTGCATGCTTTGAAACATGATTTACATCTGCCATTTCCCAATGGCCTCCCTTCTTTCTATTCATGATCTAAGTTTTGCTCAGAATGGCATCAAGGGAATGAGAAAATTACCTGTAATTCTTGTTGTCTGAGCTGAGACTGTCACAACAGATCACTATTCTGGGAATGCAGGCACTAGAGCAAGCTGGGAGCGGGCTCCTAACTCTTTCTCCCCCCTCGTCTCCCCTCCATTCCACTCTGGCCAGTCTCCAGGTCACCATCAAGTGGGTGCCTCCCTGCTGCCAGCCCCAGGGCAGTGGGAGGGGCCTCACCAGACACCTGAAGAACCCACCCCCCAACCCAGGGAGCTTCAGGCAGCACTAGGAGGAGGTGGGACCCAGCGCAGCACCCCCAAAGGCACCCCATCAAAGGACTCTCCTGAAGCGCAAGTCCAAGTGCAGCTCTTGGCTCCAGACCCCCATTCACCAAGGCAGGCCCCACCGGGACCTTGTAAGCAGCAGCAGTCATGCCTCTCTCCGTGTGAGGCCATCTGTGACCATGATCCTGCAGGAAAGACCTCAGCAGGACGCTAAAGAGGGACCGGGCTTGTGATTTCACTAATGGGGGTGATGTTTCTCCCTCTCTTAAAAAGGTGTGGGTGAATGCTAACCATACCTGTTTCTTCAGCCTCTCTTAAAGGCCACCTGATTGGGTTATTTACACGACATTTTGCAGACTATTGGAAATACATACAGATGTGCCTGGGGTCTGGGAGGCAGCCCCTTCCCATTCTGGTGTGCCCAGTCCTGGGCCAAGTGCAGAACAAGTACACTCTGAGAGATGAGAGGCCATGGTGAAACCTGCCTGCCTTGGGCAAGGTGGGCACAACCCCCGGAGCAGAGTGGAGCCTGGAGAGGTGGACACAGCTCACACCAGCATACCTGGGAGCAAGAGTGCCCGCAGGCCGCAGGCCCCCTGCCGCTCGCCCCACTCCCCAACCCAGTTCACCTCTTTTCAGTTCAGACTTTTGAAGACTGGCTTTTCAGATCATTGATTGAGCATGTCTTTTAATGGGATGATGGACAAACACACACAACACTTAAATATCAAAATATTCCCATTTAAAGAAACTTTTAAATCTCTGGGTTTAATGTAATTTATCCGTAGCACTATTTCCTATCATGTGCACGAACTCCAATTCTTTCTTGGGCCCATCTCATTTCCCCTATTAAACTGCATGGCCCCAGTGGACGGAGACCACATCTGACACAGGACTTAAGCCCCAATAAAACCTAGGGAGGAAGCTAGCATCCAGGCCCTTCCTCTGCAGGACGCAGTCTTCAGGGGGAATGAAAAAGGAGGTGAGAAAAGAGCCTGGCATTGAGAAGAGCTGGCTTTGCCTTGTTTATTCACCCTACACCTGTTACACACCCAGAGACAGCCGCCTTCTGTCTGATGGGTGACTCCTGCCGCCCCACAGAGAACAAGCTGGCCCCTGTGTGACTCCAGCCATTCCACCACCTGCTAGGTTCTTTCCACAGCCCTCTGCCTTTGCATTTTTTATTTCCCGTCTTTAGTTTTGTGGTCTTTGAAATTGTAGACATCCAATTTTAGTAACTCTTTCCCACTGCTCTCCTCAACTGTCACCAAAATCTCACATGTCCCTGGCTTTACAAGGCCACATATTGGGTCTCTGCAGCTGGTGCTATGGGGCTCTTTGGTGGTGAGAAGCCTGGCACAGTGCTCAGTTATAAAGCCGTAACAGCCACTGCGGTCAGCTGTCCAGTGTTCTGCAGAATGGCCTGAGCCAGGGAGATCCAGGGCTGACAGCATTTTCCAACTGAACTGGGGCCCAGATAGACCAGACCTAGGCTTTCTGAGGCCAGGGACATTGTCAAGTCTGAAACTCAGCACCAGGGTTATGGCTTGTGTCTTCCAGCCCTTGGAAGGGCCAGCACTGGGCTGAACTGTCCTCATGGTTCCTCTGGGACAGGCCAGAGAGACCCGAAGTCCTTGGGTAGGCCAGTTCTCCTCTGTGCAGTGACCCAGCTCATCCCTCTGATCCTCCCCAGCTGCTTCTTTGTAACACTGTACATGAAGGGCCTTTTGAAAATGTCATGAAGAACAGAAACGAGAATGGCACTCTGTGGTCTTGGCAGGTGGCTCTGGAGAAGACCCAGGAGGTGCTGAGCAAGCTTCTTCAGAGGTTGTCCACGGACCCACGGACAGGGAATGGACCACTGCTGGGTTCGGAGACAACCAGGACGAGCCTCCTCTGGTGACTCAACCCAGCCACATGTTCCATCACGACAGCACAGGGTGAAAGGCTGTGATAAAAAGGAAGTGGAGGCCGAGAGACACATAGAGTGGATGGAGGAATAGAATCAGGGCAGAACATGCCAATGAGAAGAGTCAGTTTTGTCTTTGAAGAAAAAGGAACACAGAGGGTGCACCAACTTCTCCTGCCTTGAGAAAGGATCAGCAGCTGGCCCTGCTCAGCTAGGCCATTCTTCCACGGTTTTGGCTGGACTCTCATATCTGCACTCAGCGAAGGGCAGACAAGCTGTCACGCAGGGGGACGGGGGTAACGAGGCCCTTTTCTCTCATCATGCAGCAGGAGAGTCCAGGCTCCTTCTCTTGGTGGTGGCTGCAAGGTTCCCAAGAGCAGCAAGCGAGGACAAACTGAATGCACAAGAACCTTTCAAGTCTCTGCTTATGTTACATTTGCTACTGGGCCATGGTCAGATCAAACCACCTGGCCAACTCCAAATTCAGGGGTGGATAAAGACTGCCACTTCTTAGTGAGAAGGGAAAAGTTCTTGGCTATTTTTGCAATCTACAAATTACAAAATCCAAAAGGTTCTTGCTTTGGGATTTAAGCAAGAGTAGGAACAGGAAGGGCTCCTTTCCTAGAAGACAAAACCGTCATCTACCAAAGCATCCTTGCCGGCAGCCCAGTGATGCCAAGAGCTGCAGGCTCACCCCCAACCATGGCAGAACCAGGGTGGCAGAAAGAACTCAGTAAATGAAAACCAGGAAAGACTGAGTGGTAATTATGGGAAGATGCCCCACATTCCAAACACAATCAGACTGGGCATTCTTTTCCATTGGGCAGAACTTGTTTCTCCTCTTGTTCTCTCTCTTCTCATCCATGTGTGCAATTTAAGTATTTACCAAAGGCACCTGATGACAACTTAATCAGAGTGCAGACAGGTGGGGCTCTGTATATGGCACCCACCTGTGGCAAGTCCAGGAAGGAGAGGAAAAGAAGAGCCCCTAAGGTGCAAGACTCAGATGTTGACAGGTGCAGCAGAATGAGAAAGAGCAGTGTTATGTCCTCAGAATGAAAAAAGAAATACCACTTAGACAGGTTTTCAAAATGGTATACTACTCTGTTATGTCACTGGAGAATTGTGATTCCGAACAGCAAACTGAAGCCACTTCTATGACAGTCTGGGAGGTCACTGTCACTGAGGTCACCAGAAGCTCTCTGGTTCTAGTGTCGTGACAGTCACTGGCTAGTGACTGGGAAGCATTGGGGTAAAAGGGATATTTTGCCTTGAAATTATCTCCACCCACCAGCGGGCCTTCTAATGGTAGTACATTCTTCAGTTGCCAGGCAGAGCACGGGAGTACAGAAAAGCATACTGTAGGCTCAGGCAGTTTCTGGAGACCAGCAGTCCAGGGCTGACTCTTTCTGACTAGGAAGTGAAGTCCTGGTTCCACTCAGGAAGGAGACTGGGCAGGAGAAACTGGGGGAGACACTCGGTGTGCGCTGTTGCACATGTTGTCTTCTTGATGAGCTTCTCAAACTAGCTAGAGGGGCACTGAGGTTCGGAACCAGCCTCCTGTCCCCTGCCGAAGCAGAAATCAGTAGATCTTCCAAGGTGGTGGCCAGAGAAGGTCCTGGCCTGCTGGCTTGCATCTTGTCGCTGTAGTCTGTGTCTGACTTCTGGTCCTCCAAAGACATCTTGAAAACATCAGACCACAAGGGACATCCTGGTCGGAAACTCACTCTGGGGAAAAGCAGAAAGAGTCTAACATTAAACTAGAAGATACTTAAAGAAAGCAACAACACAAGTGTTGGCTCACTGGGCGGAGTCCAGAACCTGTTCGCAGCAGGCACATCCTGACTCTGAACTTGTGTTGATGTCCCCAAGCCTCAAACGGGGCTGAAGCCCACAGACAGCAGACAGAACTCTGTTCCGGGCCTGCAGAATGACTTACCACCGCCTTAAGAATAGCTACTATGTTTACCGGGTGCTCCCAGTAGCAAGGGAGGATGGTGTACTATAGACCTGAAGCCCCTGAAAGTTTCCTCCCTACTCACACAGTACTTTGGCCTTTGCTTTCTTCTATTTAAAAAACAAAAGGCAATTGTTTGGAGGGATTAATGACAGGTCAAGCCTTTTTTCTGTTGCTATTCCTTCTCCCTATACTCCCCACTAAGGAAAATCTCCCTTGGACTCTGGAAAAGCAACATGGCAGGGAGGCGGGGTAACTGAGCAGGGGCAGTGGGTCGTGGAGAGCTGCCTCCAAAGTAGGGCTGGAAGCCACTCTGGCACCTCACTGAGGACATCTGGGACAGACCCCGGTGTTTGTCAGAGGTCCAGGTCTCACGTTCGTCGGCTGAGGGACAGAGTGGGTTGTCTGCACTGAGACAGCAACAGTCTACATAACCACTCAAGGCGGGTGAAGGGGGAATATAAAGGAACTGGGCAGCTGGGCTGGGACCCAGGATTTCCTGCACACCCACGAGGCACAGTACACAGTTTACACTCAATAAAATGTCAAAGGAGGAAAGAAAAAGCAAGCTGTCCTTTGTAAAGAGCAGGGGTTCCTAACCTTCTCTGGACGGGGGCTCTTTCAAGAACTTTCTGCGAGTTACGAACCCTCTCCCCTCCCAGAGCGGGCGGGCGATGGGGAGAGTGCACCCAGCACCCCCGCTGCACCCGCGAGGACCCAGACGCCCCGCGACCCCCGCCCACCGTTTTCTTGGCGGGCTCCTTCTTCCTGCGCTTCTCCGAGCCGCCGTGGTGCGGCAGGTCGCGGCTGCGCCAGGACGGGCCGCGGCTCAGCTCCCGCTCGCTGTAGGGCGGCAGCGTGTCGTCGGGCTCGAGCTCCGCGTCGCCGGGCCGGGACTCGAAGGGGGCGGGCGGCGACCAGGCATAGTAGGAGGCGCTGCGCGGGCCGAGCTGCGCGCCGCGCCGCGCGGGCGTCTCCAGGCTGCCGCCGCGGCCCGCGCCCTCGGCCCGCTCGGACGCGCCGCCCAGGTACGCGTGCTCGTACTTGCGCGCGGTGCCCGGCGTGCGGCTCACCAGGCGCGGCAGGGGCGCGTCCTCCGGCCAGCCGCGCTCTGCGTCCAGCGGCTCGCGGCTGCGGCCGCGCCCGTACAGCTCCTCCAGCGGCCCGTCCTGGAGGAGGCCCGTGCGCGCGCGCTCGAAGCGGCTGCCGGCCCGCGGCTCCAGGCCATTGCCGTCGGCGTGGCGCCGCGGGCCGTAGGAGTCGGCGAAGGCCGCCAGTTCGTCCATGGAGACTGCGGGCACCCCGGGGGCGAAGTTCTTCCGCGACAGCATCTCGGACTTGGAGCGCTGCTGGCTGCGGACAGAGGAGTGGTGGGTCAGTGGGCAGAACCGCGGCCCGTGCGGGCTCGGGCTGGCCTGGAAGCGCACCGGCTCCTGGGCACCTCCCKCTGTCCAGCGAGGGCCCAAACACGCCTTCTGATCGTTACGATGAGCCCTGGTCGGCCACGCGTCTCACGCCACCCGCTCTACGCCCCAGCCAGTGGCAGCGCGCACGGCTGGGGCCCCAGGAGCCTCTGCAGTTTGGGGGCACACTGAGCGGCCTGTTTCGCCCTCCAGCCAAGGGCCAAGTTACCTCTTGGGCAGAGGGACCCCTGCAGTTGGTGAGAGTGAGAGGCGATGTCGACTGTCCTTCAAGGTAAAGGCAGTAAGTGCCATTCATGGGGACGCATCCAGGAACTGGGTAGGCTCAGCCTCCCTACGCTTGGTCTTATCMGGCTGGTAAGTGCCTTAGCATCTGGAAATTTGCCTTCCCAACTTAAAATGGTATATTACTGGTGGCTGCCTGTGAGTCACGAGAATTAAGTGCAACATTATAAAGCGTTGGCGTTTTACCTTTCAGGTAACAAATGATCAAAAACGATGGAGATGATGGGAGTTTTCAGAGGTTATAGGATAAAATGTACCGGGGCAGAGAGACGTGAAGGTTTCATTAAAGAGCCCAGAGTTCACATTTTCAGAAGGCCTCGAATGATTACTTCTATGCAGTCCCTTCAAGAGTCCTAAGGTCCCCTTGATTAATAAGTGTGAGAGAGGGAAGCTCCCCACAGGATGGAAAGAGACCCAGAAGGAGGAACGGTGCTGTTTAGCAATAATCTCAGTTCTACCTGCTTCTGCTCAGCCCCCTGGCGGCCATCACCTGTGCCTGAAGCTCTCCCGATCCTCTTTGTTATACTCCAGGGCTGAGGGTCCCCTGCTGGCCCCACTGCTGCTTCCCATGACACCCGACCAGTAGTCAGGATTGCTCTCCAGGTCCCCAGACACGGGGAAYTGCTTGCTCCTCATCTGATGGTAAGACTGGCGGAAGCTGCTGTCCTCTTCATGCAGGGAGCTGAGTTCTGAGATGGTGTTGTTATCTGCAGGGACAGAGATTTCTCCGTGTTAGATGGGAAGGGCTGAGACCAGAGGCTCCACAAACTCCCGGCTGGGGGYGTCAGGCCTGTCAAGGGTGGGCTCTTCACCTGCAGGTGGTATCTGTGTTTTTGGCAGCAGGAACTGGCTCCCGTGGGAAGCCTACCTGCTTACTTAGAGGGAGGAGTCCTGCCTCTTCTTGGAACAGCAGAACAATTGTTTTTGTTCCTAAGGTTAGCTTCCCAGAACTCAGGCTCCCTGCAGCTGGCCTGGCACATCATCATCCATGTATTTTTCTTTTTCCTGTATAATTATTTGGTGAGCTGTGATAATCCCGGGTGTGTTGGACCAAAAGGGACAACGAGAGAGAGAAGCACATCTGACAGCATCTTCCCTGCTGTTGACCAGGGCCAAGATGGGGCCTCCAGAGCCAATATTGCCACAGGCCTTCGAGGACTGCTCTTCTGTCCGCTTTCCACTGAGCCCTTCCCCACGCAGCAAGAAGCCCACGAGGTCAAGGGGAGTGCATGCCAGCATCCCTACGCCTACCTTTAGACCACACTCACCCAAGTGGCACCAAATCCACTCTCCAGGCCTGGAGAGACTTCTTCCCGTGGCCCAGGAGCATTCCATGCGTGTGGCTGCCACGGGCAAGCTGCTGTTTGGAGGAGTGAGGAGGACAGGGGGTGCCTGGGGCCTGTGGGCCTCCATCTGAGCTCTGGTCCCAGCCTAATATGTGAGGTGTGTGTCTAGTCACAGCTCCCTCCTTCCCTAAGGGGCTTTTTGCAAAGCACTTGCAAAAAAAGGATCAGAGCCACAGTTGGGAAATTAAAGGGGGGGGGGGGCTGRGGAGGGAGGGTGCTGCTGTTTATAGAGCTTTGAAATGGACTGAATTTCATTTTATTTAAAAAAATAAATTGAGTGAACCTATTTGTAATGTAACAGAATCCATTTGTTTTCTAAAATCTTTTCATTAGGACTTTGAAAATATTATTAAAAGCAATATTTACTAGGTTTAAAGCCTGGCTGTTGAGCAAGAGGTAAGCCAAGATAAGATGTGGGAAGCACAATGTGTCTCAGGTTCCCTCTGATTTTCCCCTCTGAGCTCCAACAGTCCTGGGAAGAACAGAGAATTCTGCCTAGCACTGCGACAGGCCCTCCCCCACACCAAACCTCCTGGCCCCTGCTCGCCAGGAAACCAGCCTTTACCTTGAATGCCATTAGGTTTCATCACGTGATCAGTTGGTTTTGAATTATAATCTGATTTTTAATTGTTTTCTACCTCTCAAGAAACTTTTCTCTAAGTTTCTGCTTATTTTTAAAGGAAAGTAACTGAGATACTTTTGATTAATCAATTCTAGAATATTCCTTCTTATGATTCCTATGAATTCCAATTTCCTAGGAACTAGACAGAAAAGAAATTTAAATGAGACCTCTGTAAAGTCATGCTGTTGGCTCAGACCTTTCCTTAAATTTCAGGAAACATGGCCTTTTTCATCCCTCAGGGAGTGAGCGCTATCCCTGTTTCCCTACGCATAGAACAAACTGTCCAGGATGTGCATCACACTAAAACTGCTGCCCCTGAACACAGATGTCAGCGTCCCCACTTCAGAGACAGCCACTGAGGTGGCTCTAAGGAGAGGTAGGCCAACTGTGAAGGGCTGGGTTTGTGAGCCACAGTGTGACAGCCACTCAATTCCACCATCCTACAGGAAGGCAGCCAAAGAGTATMTGTAAGTGACGTGGCATGGCTGTTCCAGTAAGACTCTGTTTACAGAAACAGAAGCTGGGACATCTTTGGAGCAGGGGTAATTGTTTGCTGACTCCTGCTCTAGAATGTTCGGACTTGAAACATCCCAGGAGCAACCTACCACTCATAAGGGCAAGGCAAATAAGGACCCTACTGCCTAGACCTGGGCCTCAGACTCCCARTCTGACTCCCTGCTTAATCTGAAACCATGAGATCCATGTTACAACAAGACCTCCAGGAGGGGGCCATCCTGGGACCCACCCTAGGGTTGACTTTGCTCTTCAGAAACACTTCACCTCCATGCATTTACTATAATGTCAACGTGCAGCTTCCAGTGACCTGGGCTCCCGTCCCCCACTGGCCCTGAGTACTGGTGCTGGCCACTTTTCCTCTTTGCCTCACTGTCCTCCTCCAGATCCAACAACCTCAGAGTCCTTTCCAGYCGCAGCAGTCTGGAGCCCTCGGAACGAGGAGGCTGTGGTCACCACAGAAACTACAGCTCACAAGCTTCTTTGGTAAAGATCACAAGATTGGGACTCAGAAGAGCTGGGTTCCACCTTGCTTCTGTCACTGTCCCCCTGGCCTTCTGTTTTCTCATGGTTACACTGCAAAGGTTGGCCAGGCAGTCCCTAAAGTCCCCAGTAACTCTGAGTTTCCACTACCTTATGACCGGCTGGCCCCTGGAGACCACCTGGGTCCATCAGACAGGGGAGTCACCACCTAGAGGAGAATCCATTCTTTAGTCTTAATCTTAATTGTTAACTTTTTCTCTGAGCTGTGAGATGCACAGATTTCCTGCCCAGGCTTCTGGATTCCAACTCTGTCTGCCCCTTACAGGGATCCATGACAACACTGCTACCACTAGTTTGTCAAGTGCAGTGACATCTGCATTCCTGACATTCCAATCTGGAGATGGTCTTTTTATAGTCCGCTAGGTGGGAGGGTGCAGCAAGGGCTACAGCAGACGGCTGGATTTAGAATTGCAAACTGGGTGGAATATGTTGTCCTTAATCTGAATAAAGCTCCTGTAGTCTGGGACTGTTTCCCCAACAATTCCATCAAGTCTGTCTTTGGTTCCAAGAAGAGGAGGGTTCAAAGAAAGCGCGTCGTGACCCACTGCCATGCCTGCCAGCACCCTCTGGTAACCAGCCATCCCCCTCGGCCTGCTCTGTTCTGCATCCCAAGACAGACAGTCATTTGGAATCTACCCCAAAGAATCAGCTCTGTCAGCTGCGAGTCTCCGAGGGCTGTGCGTAAGTTAGGTTGGGGCCCCACCGTCTCCAGACTTGGTAATTACAAGTTCTCTGAGGAGAGGAGCAGCCTCCTCCCMGCCCTCAGTGGCCACGTGGGGCCTGGGGGAAGGCAGCTCCCTTTCCCAGAGCCACTGTGTCAGGCTCCTCTGACTCTCACGAGGTGAGTGGGAGGCTCCCTTCAAGGCTGGGCCCCTCATGCTGGAAGGGAACTGTCGCTGAGGCTCCAGACGCTGTCCTTGCTCTGCATATGACACTGGGGACGGTGTTGAATAACTCCTTCTCACCCTACGGTTAGGAAGCCAGGTGTTCAATACTGGCTGAGCCCTGGAGAAACCCAACATAAACCAAGGGTGYGTGACTGCCCTGCTCTTCACCCCAGAAGCCCCTGTGCTGCCAGCACCCCAATAGCTGTGGCTCTGCAGGCCCCGTCGCTGCCGGAACAGCCACTCAGTCCCGAGTGACGCAGAGCACAGAAAACCAACAGATGCTCACATCTGCCTCGCATCCTTCTGGCTGGGTCAAACTGAGCCAGCTCCTTCTCCACATAGTACAGGACCTTCATGGAGTCTCTCTCTTTGTCCGCTTGGATCCGGTAACCTTTGCGAACTGTCGAGAAAGCACAAGAAGGTGAACTCAAAAGGAAAATAGGAGGTGAAGGAAGCTTCCGTCTTACCAAGGTGAAGACGTGGTTCCCCACCATAGCAATGCCTTTCAAATCACGGGGAAGTCATGATCCACACACACACCCCTCTTTCATAGGGTGGCACTGGAATGGAGGAACTAGAGGTCAACAACAAAACTCCCCTGCAGCCTAGTGTTAGTCAGTTGTCACCACTGCTCCCATCTTCTGAGCCTCTCCAGGTCCACTGAAGTCTCACCTGCTCTAAGCCTGTGAGTTCCACAGGGCAGGGCTGGGGGGTGTCTACACACTCAAAGGATTTTCTCGATTCGGGACCCTTGTCACCCCACAGCCTGAGGCTCACACCTCCCCTTGGTGRGAGGAGCTCAGGTACCCACACATCACCTCTAGTCACCTGGGAGGTGGCACAGACACTCCCTAAATGGGGGGGAGGGGTTGCCTAAGAGCTAAGATTCGATTTTAGACTCTACGCACAGTCGTACAGAACAAATGGGAAACACATGGGTTTCCAATCAGGGTTCCACTTCATTCTTCAGCATTTTCCTTCTAGGAAAAGGAATACTATATTTTAGACACCATTAATTCAACCTGCAGCTATGTGGTTGCAAACAGGTGCTGTTTTCAGGGCTTAATAAAATACCCACCGAAAGCAGTAGAGACACATTATCTCCTCCTGCCCATCATACATTGTCAGGGCTGTGTGAGCCCTGGACCACCTGAGTCTAGCCCAGCGTCAGTCCCAAGTGTAGTCAGACATCAGCAACCTACCGCACAGTAGGAGAAGCGGGGATGAGAGACACAGTCACGATGGGATGTGGAACAAGCAGTAATGGGGGGGAGATGGCACAGGGTACTGCTCATGCGCTGAGTGCTGCGCTAAGTGTTTCCACACATGCCTCCCAGTGCCCCAGGAAGCAGTGCTCTTATCCTCTTCCTCTGGCTGAGAAAATCTGAGCTCAGGGATTTCACCTCTTCTCCAGGGATGACCTGGAGCACCCAGCTGGACCGCATGGTCCATGTGACTGAGGCTGAGCCGACCCAGGGCATCCTGCCTCTCAGAGCCTAAGGAGGCAGTTGAAGAAGACGGTGAAGCCCAGGGCAGGCCTGCTGTCAGGCGAGCTGCGGCTGTGCAGTCTGCAGCTCGGACTGTCTCCTGGTCTGGAGGACTGTCYGGCAGATGGAACGCCCAAGCCAAGCCCAGGCCCCCTGATCCCAGATTGGGGCAACACCAGGAGCAAAGCATGTGCCTCTGGACACACTGCACGCACGGCGGACAGCGCTCTCTCCATGGAAGGTGGAAAGGAGAACCCACAGCCCCCTCTCCCCAAGCCAGGCGCAGGAGACAGGGAAGCCGCCCACACAGCCACGGGCAGGTGCACTGACTTTGGACAGGAGAACATACTGGGCAGTCCACATCCACCTCGAATTGTGAAATAAAAGGGAAAAATGAGAAAAAAGTTTACAAGTCTTATCACATGCTTTTCAGTGGGACCTTCCCCAGGGTTAGATCCATCATCCTTATGTGGAAGCAATTATTAGCAGAAATGATTTTATTTATCAAGCTACACATTCTCCCATCTCTGCAGAGGCGTTAGCAGAGTAGTACAGACAGTTCAATTAAAATGCAATTATCCCACGGAGTGCGCTGTCTGTACCAGGCAGCTACGTCTGACGATGAAGCACTGGGCTAGGGATGGGGACTGGGCATCCTGGGGGCAGGCCACTGCTGGTTCTTTGAGGGACCCCAAACAAACGATGGCCTGCAGGACTCGGTTTTCATGTCCACAAAATGCCACCGACCCTTCCCACACTTTCAATAATCTCTGGAAGAAGAAGGGACAACTGAGGCCAAGCCGGAGGAGCGCCAGGAGCGCCTGGTAATCATGAGGGGCAGCTCACGTGTCCCCTCACCCAAAAGGCTGTCCTTGGTTCTTACGGCTAGAAAAGTTCTATTTTTCTGCCTTGACATTTTTCCTAACTCACAGGTCGTTCAGCTGGAACTTTTATCATGGGCCTTACTACATTCTCCTTTGTTTCAAGTTGTTTATACAATGGCCTCATCTTCTCAAAGATTCCTGAAGGAAATGAATCCGATAAGGCTTCCCGTTCCTCCCCTCCTCCCGGAGTGTGCGCTGGATCCCTGCCAGCCTGGGAAAGGGTGGGGCTGTGGGTTCTTAAGAGCGAACATTTCCAGGAGAGTCCATCCAGAAACCCTCAGCTTTCTGAAGGAAAGTACAGGGAGTCTCTGTTCACCTCCACATCCCTACACCTGGCACAGAGCCGGCACATTCCAGACTCCTGTGTGTTCAAAGAATGAGTGAGTGAAAGGATGAAGGAATGAATGAATAAATGGAAGCATCAATGAATGGAGAGAAACTGAGAACAGAAAAAGTACTTCATGGATTACAAAGTATGGCACAGGTGGCCCCATGGGTGGTGTGTGGAGGCTTTTGACCAGGAAGGGAAAGCTGGGATGGTGGTAGGCTGAGGGAGCAGCAAGGTTTGGCTGAGTTTCGTGGTTATTGATTCTGGTGATTATTTCCAAGTAGAGGATTCCCGCCTGTTTGTAGGATCAGGGAGGAGCGCTCCGCCTGCAGCAGTGGCTCCATGGAGTTCTCAGTGCGGGTGGCACTGAGGTGGTAAGCATTCAGTGGCACTGAGGTAAAGGTCACCTGGGGGCTGTGGCCACATGGAACCCGCTGTCCCCCAGTGGAGAGATGGCAGCTGTGCTGAGCAGCAGCTGGAGGAGCCTCGGTTAATTGCAACTTGGGCTGCAGCTTAAAAACTGATACTCCTCATCATGATACAGATTTGAGTGTCTGGGCACAGGTTGTCAGGTTCTGCAAAGTTACAGTAACCACAGCCTCAAACAAAGATGACAGTCTTGTCTTTCGTTACTGGAGTGACAAAAAGACTCCCCAGTGCCAGATCCTCCCAGCTTTGACTTCTCAGTCGCAGCAGCTAAGTCTTCAGAAATGAAAATTCCTCTAATTGGTCAAAAAAAAAGTGGCCAAGTATTGACCTTTAGATTTTATGGGCACCCTCCATTTGGTTTTGGTAACTAAAATTCTAGACCATCCCCGCTTTGAGGATTTTGTTGGTGGTTGTGTTGTTTTTTAATGCTAAGCTACAAGTTGGACTGTATGGCACACTAGATCATTCTCTCTCTGGGAGGACCTGGCTGTGTTGCCTATGGGCCCAGGAGAGAGCTCCTGGCCCTCCTCTCCACGGACAGCAGTTTTCTTTCTGACCCTGCACCACAGAACAGTCTTTCCACTTGAGCCTCGTAACTCTTACTCATTTTATTTCCATTCACAGTTCCCAGTCACCTCCTGCTAGCTGCACATTCCTTGAGGGCAGGGAAGATCTGTAGGCACTCATGAAACGTTTCCTGATTTGAAAACATAGAGAATGGGATCAGACTGATTTTCATCTGTGACTTGAAGATCAAAGAACTCTCACATTTTAATAAGAAATGTCCTAGGCTATTGGCCAAAGTCAAAATAGATGGGAAATGGGGCTGGGGTTGTAGCTTAGTGGTAGAGGCTCACCTAACACAGATGAGGCACTAGGCTGGATCCTCAGCACCACATAACAATAAATAAATAAAAATAAAGGCATTGTGTCCACCCACAACTAAAATAATATTTTTAAAAATATTTGGGAAATGACTTTTTCCTGGTGAAGTTTGAGTTTAGGATCAATGGCTGCTTTATTTCTATTTTCAAGTTAGGTCTGGCCCAGTGCTTTGGTTGGTGGGGCTCTTCTAATTTATCAGCCTTGCCAGCGTGGACTTGGGAGGGGAAGCAGGGATAGTCCTGATGTCAAACCAAAATTTCAAAAACTCTTACCTTAAGGGATTTTAGGATTTTGACCCAATTAAGGATCAACTACTTTTCAGCTAATKTCTGCTTTACAGCCAAAATCCAGCTTATAAAGCTTGCAGAAGAAGTCTCTGCAGTAGACTTCCATGCACATAACCCTGTTCTTCGTGTCCTGTCCTAACAAGCTAAGGAAGGCTGCTTATGGATGGTGGAGCAGCTGCCAGATTCCACCCCCAGGTGACAGCAGCTCAACTGTGGGAGAGTGATTCTTAAAATGCGCATATCCCTCTATACATACAGTAGGCATGTATGCATATATATATATATATATATGTATATATATATATATAGAGAGAGAGAGAGAGAATCTGTATACATACAGTAGGCATGTATGCATATACATATATAGATAGATAGATAGATAGAGAGAATCTGTATACATACAGTAGGCATGTATGCATATATCTATATCTATATATATAGAGAGAGACAGAGACAGAGAGAGACAGAGACAGAGAGAGAATCTCTGTGTACATACAGTAGGCATGTATGCATATATATATATATAGAGAGAGAGACTCTGTATACATACAGTAGGCATGTATGCATATATCTATATCTATATATATATAGAGAGAGAGACAGAGACATAGAGAGTATCTCTGTATACATACAGTAGGCATGAATGCATATATATATATATATATATATAGAGAGAGAGAGAGAGAGAGAATCTGTATACATACAGTAGGCATGTATGCATATACCTATATCTATATATATATAGAGAGAGAGACAGAGCAGAGAGAGAGAATCTCTGTATACATACAGTAGGCATGTATGTATATATATATATATATAGAGAGAGAGAGAGAGAGAGAGAGACAGACAGACAGACAGACACACACACACACACATCCTTATTAATTTTGAAAATGACGTTTCAAGCCCGTGCTCAATTCTTTTTGACAAAGGATGAGTGAAGGCCAGGGAGACTAATTGGGCAAGAGGAGATGTGGGAAGGCCAGGAAGGAGACGAAGCACTAGGCAGGGTGGGCGGCCATGGCAGTGAGGACCGGGACAGCCGCAGCACAGAAGTAAAACAAAACAGGCCAAGGCCAGTGGAGAACAATCCGAAGGACTTAGTGACCACGGGTGATGAACTGAGGGAGAAGGCAGGGTGAGGATGCGTCCTATGGCTTGGACTAGGTGATGATGATGCCATCCACTGAGGTAAGACGTGTGCATCTGAAGTGGAGAGCAGCGGGTTGATCCAGTTTCAGAGACTGAGGGTTGAGGGCCTGTAAGACATCCAGGTGGACATGGCCAGGGCAGCCGGATATGGGACTGCAGAGAGGCTGGGGATAATGATTGGGAGTCATCAGCGTGATGATGGGGAGCAGAGAGGACTCCCTGGGAGATGCTGGTGGGCAAAACGGGGACRTCACCATGTGGAAGACACAGGGGCAGAAGAGCCCGAACGGAGAGATGGTGGGAGGCTGCACAGTGTCCACAAGGGCAAGGGGAGAGGAGGGGGGCAGGGCGTGAGGACAAAAGAGCATCCAGCGATGGAGCACCAGGTGCCCTGGCAGGGACTGGTCCCCAGAGAGTGGGGACAGTGAGYGGAGAAGGTTGAGCAGGGAAACGGCACTGAGTGGTCAAAGCTGGCTCAGGAGCTCTCTGTGAAGAGGAGGACAGGGACAGTTGTACTTGAATGGGTGAGATTCGAGCGCCTCTTGACTTYTGCCAGGAAAGGTACTGAAGCTGGGAAGGAGGCGGACAGGGCGGAGCAGGTGGAGTGTGGATGTCCAATAGAGAGCCCTTGGMGGAGCAGCAGGCTGGGTCCAGGGGGCAGGAGGCTGCTCCCTCTGGCTGCTGGAAGGCTCAGGGGAAGGACTCTGGCCCCCTCTCTCTCCCCCATGCAGGGACCAACCAGACCTCTAGCTGGCTCACCAAAGAGGCCTTTTCACCTTGCACAATGTTCCAAAGAGCATGACGCACAAAGGTGATCTGAAAAATCGCTGGTGCTAGATGATCACCCTGAAACTAAGGTAGCATATAAATATTAAAAAAGCTAAATTTACATTTTTACCCACAAACATTTCTTAACATTTTTAGTGTTCTTTACAGAACAATCTACATGGGCCCAAGCCACATTTTTTAAAGGAGAATTAGCCTAAGGCCAACAGTAACCTACCTTGGGACCGTGAGCATGAGATGTGTCCATGGGGACCGTAAGAGACTAATTCCTGGTGCCAGGATCTGATGATGACACAGGCCAGACTGGCTGTGACTGACACTGATGGCTATCTTTGCTGTTTGGGGGCTGACAGACCCAGACTGTGTTTGATCTCAAGGTCAGTAGTTTCTTAGGTCTCTGAAGTGAGGATCGATTAGTTTAAGCCCATCTGGCTCAGGAATGGGCATGGGATACAACTCTGCCAGGGAAGGCTGCTAGATAGGGAAGAGCTCCTGGGAATTTTCAGTCACTCTTGGGAAATGAGGCACAAGGATGAAGCGCATCTCTCTCTCTCTCTCTCTCTCTCTCTCTCTCTCTCTCTCTCTCTAATTCATTTAATACTGGAACTATTGCTGTCATCCGTGGATCACAAGGGCCGCCAGCTGAGCAGGCCAGAGGGCGTGCTCAGGATGAGAGTACTGAGCTGCAAAGAGCTAGTTCTTTCAAGGATGCTGCCAAACTGTCCGCTAGGTAGACAAAACCTGTCCACTAGCCAAACCTGGAGCCACCACCTTACTTTGAGATTTCCTGTTATGTGGAATAATTCAGTTTTCTATTTTTAAAGCCACTTCTAATTGCAGTTAATGTGGCAGGATGGGACCAAATGACTAAACCGCAATGACCAGGAGCTCAGGAAAGGCTGAAGCCGGGAGAGAGGACGATCTGCCTGTCTGAGTAGCAATCACTGTGATGACCCACTGAGCAGGAGGAAGGGGCAAGGTTCCAGTGGGAAGGAAGGGAAAGAAATTAGGGGGACMGGGAAAGCAGCAAATAAAGAGCATGGGACGGGTCCCCTCAATGTCCCTTTTGCCCACCCCACCCTTGGGGACACGCAGTGCCCGGTCTTTATCTCTCTGATTCTCTGTGYCCTTGATCATTAACTTTTACCTCTCAGTCTGTGACTCATTCCCAGTCTCAGASGTCAGGATTCTACTAATAGTTCCAGGGAGAGAAAAGCACAAAGACCAACTCCTCACCAGGCTGCCCACCCCTTCCAGTCGGGCGGTGGCAGTTCACCAAGTGGGCTGTACCCTCCYGGCTCCCTGGAGGCAGCTTAGAAGCCTCCCGCGTGAAATGTCTGATTCAGCAGCCCCAGTGGCTCATCGCATCTAGGAATTTAAAAATCACCGCCTAAGTCTCCTAGACACACAAGTTTAACCTCCTCTACCCTGCAATCCTGTCCAGATGCCTCCAGGAAACTGAATTTTAACACTCTTTGCCCCGCCACCCTCCTCTCCCCCTCCCCCTCCCCACCTACCTCCAAGTCCCAGAAAGAGCTAATCATCACCCAAGTCCCTCTCCCAACCAGTTACAGCATCTCAGCTACGATCTGCAACACTGAACACCTTGGGGTACCATCCTGAGGCCCCTTTCCCTCCCTCTCCAACATCTCATCACTTCTTTCAAACTCCTCTCAGGTTCCTCTTGCTGTTCGATCCCGCTGTCTCCATCAGAAGCCAGATGCTCACTGGACGCACCAACCACTTCAGCCAGGCCTTGGCAGGTGGTCTCTGGCCCCACTCTCTCCACCCTCTGCTTGCAGCGCTCCTGCTAACTCACGTACCAGCCCAGCCCTCCGGAGGAGCTGCGAGGGAGGCCCCTCAGTCCGGCTCCACTTGCCCTTCCACCTCTCCCAGGCCGCCCAGCACTCACAGGGGTCCCCCAGCCCTGGGATCTCACCACGCTGGCCTTCCTGCTCAGCACCCCTCTCACTTCCGGGCTCAGCCCAAACCCAGCCTCCCCCTGCAGGCTCTGTAACCACTCCAGCTCCTTCATCTCTGACTTCCAAGCAACACCAGTCTCTGATTGCCACAATCAGGGCCCATCCTCTGTCCCTGACAAGGCCATGCTGCCTTTAGAGAAGCCTGCATCCTGCACACGGTCCCTCCACGTGCCTCAGACGGTCCTTAACACCAGGCGGGGCCGGAATAACATTGAACAAGGTTCAAGGTGTACCTCAGCTCTCTGGCCCTCGTTATTGGGGGTGCTTAGGAAGGAAGCAGGGTCAGCAAGGTCCTCCAGCCTGGGAAAGCCCAAGATGCACTCCAAAAGACACCTCACATGACCAGAAGGACCCCACTTTTGGAAAGCAGATAACTTTCCCCAAGATGCACCACTGAACAGACTGCTTATCAGCAAGGAGCTGGGCGGGGCCAGGGACAAGGCGGGGCAGGGCGGTCTGGAACTGCAATTACCACTGTGGCTTCCTCCTGTGGAGTCACTGGGTGCCAAGGGAGGTGGATGCGGCTTGTCCATCAGCATGCCAGATGAGGGGGTTCCTCCCAAAGGGACAGAGGGGATGGAGAAAGGGCCAGGGACACCGGAGACAGAGGGAGGGTACCCGGCCTTGGCCGCTTTCCCTGCTTCATACACTGTGGAGGAGACGAAGAGCAAGAGAGATTACGTTGTCCCACCCTCCACAACCCTCACACCAGGAATCCCTGAGGACGCTCTCGGGGGAGCTCCTGGACGTGTGTCTTCTCCGAGGACTGAGTGGATTCAGAAGGGACACTCTCCCTGCGACCACTTCAGCTCCAGTGAAAAGTGACACTGTGAGCAGCTGCAGGAATCCCCGTGCGGAACCTGGCATCTGGTGCTAATGCGTTCCGGGAGCTGTCAGAGCAGCATCCCCAGGGTCAGCCGCCCACGGTCTGCAGACCGCCTCAGCCCTCTGGAGGAGGCCAGCACAGGGCTGCCTCCAGGAGGCTGGGAACCTCCTCTGGAGAGGTGAAGAGGCCATGGGCTGCCACGTGAACCTGTGACCCTTGCTGGATGACTCTCAAAGCTAAGCAAATGACCTGAGGCCCCCCAACACGGCTATCCCTAAAGACACTGAAGGTGCACAGTGTGCCTCTCTCTTCCAGGAGGAGTCTGGTTTGTGGTAGGAATGCCAAACTCAGTGCCTACGTGGGCTTGGCTAGTAAGGTACAATCAGTCCCTACAGAGGACCAGTCCTGTTCATCATGGGAATAAGGGAAACTCATCAGTGGCTGCCGGGTGGTGCCCAAAGGCCACAGTTGGCACATCCACTTTTAAAAAGAGGAGGTTCTCCGCATGGGAGGAGAATGAGGAAAGGTTCCTCTGGTTTGAAAGCCCTGAGGAGGGGCAAAGCCTATCCCATGACATGGCCATCTGCACCTGCCCTTTCTCCATCAGTACTGCCCATGGGCTCCTAATGCCTGGGTGAAGGTGTGGATGGAAACATGGAGGCATGCAGGCAGGGGGTGAGCAGGCAGACAGTGGCATCCCTGAAGATGGACTCCGGCAGAAGGTGGGGTCTGGGTGGAAGGAAAGGAGGTGGAGGAGGACTCGGGGCACAGCCGTCAGATGGAGAGGGGACATTTCTTCCACCACTCCACACCTCCCCTGGGTCTTTACTCACAGGCCTGAGGGCAGCAGCAGGAGTCTGGGCAGCACGGGCAGCGGACGTAGCAGCAGCAGCTATGGGGACAGCACTGGCACCAGCAGATCCCCACCAGGACGAAGAAGAGGAAGACTCCCAGGATCACCAGGCCCACAAACACCCACTCTGGAAGGACGCACAGAGAAACCCACACTCAAGGTAGCCCACCTTCAGGATGGGGCACACCAAAAGGGGTGTCCCTGGGGAAGGAGGTCAGGGGGAGGGGCTGGGGAGAAAGCGCTCACAGGGAACAGAGCCCCACTCAACAGGAACCCTGCAGTGAGCGCAGTGTCACGCTGGGCTGGCAGTGCAAAGCCATGGGGTGGAGGAGTCAGCCTGTTACTGGGGAAAGTGTTTGCCAAGCTGACCACAGCGTCAGAATAGGGACAGGACAAGTGCAGRAGGAGTCCTGGCGGGGGAGGGGAGCCGCGCTGCGGGGCTAGGAGGTGGAGGGCTCTGTCAATTCCTTTTATGGTCAATCTTGTCTCTAAAATACAGGCCCTGAAAACAGTCCTCTGTGTCCACATGGCCTCTGAGTAGACCATCTTCAGGTGGCCCAGGGCCTGGGCACACTCATCTGCTCTCCCTGCAGACTGCCCTAGAACACCCTTCCTGAACTCCACACCAGGGCTGAGATCCACACCCCTTGCTTATGGCTGGACAGCGTCCAGCAGAGAAGGCACTGTCCCCATCCCCGAGAATGGGTCTGGTGTGATCCCCTTCAAGCCGGTCAGCCAGCACAGCCAGGGCTCAGGCTCTCAGGGTCTGGCGAAGCGCAAGGCTGACGTGGAGGCCTGGGGAGTTTGACTCCTGCCTCTCATGGCTTGGCACAGGCCGAGCGTGAATCCCATTTCATCTGCCATCTCAAAGATGGAGAGAAAGGAAGTAGATTCTATCTGGCTTCGATAAAAATGACTGTGGCCCTACGTGACTTGACTCAGTAGCAAGCGATGGGACCTGGCAACGGGACCGACTCTCCCTGGAGCCTGGACGGACTGAAGGAGCCATCTCTCCCTTCAAAGCCAAAAGACTAAAGCAGTTCGTTTCAGTTGAGAGCTTTCTCACCAAAAATCCCTTTACAGGGAGCCTCAGTGCACATTTTTTCTTAAATTTCAATTACTAAATAGTCCTTCAATGGACATGTAGTTGGGAGACTGAAACTATGAAGTGTGGGGGCCTTATGATAATGGCAAAGTCATCGGACCTTTAGTTAGAACATTATTTCCTCAGAGAGAAAGTGAACATCCTGTACCTCCTGAAGGTCCCTCCTCGCCTCCCCGTCTGAAACACACTCGGATCACCCAGGTCCCCCTGTCCCTTGGTCGGGGCAGATGGCTTGCAGATCTGGGGGCATTCCTGCTGCAGACATAGACAGCAGGAGGCCTTGGCCTTAGCACTAACGTCACAGCACAATGGAACCCGAGGTAGACAGGAGCCAGGGTTTGGATGAGCTGAGTGGAGGGGCAGGTTATGTTGGAGAAACAAAAGAGYATCACSGTGAAAGGATTTCTGGAATCAGAGGAAGGGAAATTCAGGCGGATAGGAAATGCCTTTTTCAGATATGAAAAAGACAGTAATTCCCAGTTATATAACTTCTAGTTTGAAACCCAGCAACGTAGGTGTGTGTGTGTGTGTGTGTGTGTGTGGTGTGTGTGTGTGTGTGTGTGTGTGTGTGTATACAAATGCTTTCAAACTGCAGGAACTTTGGACAAGGGGGATTACAGAGAGATATCTCTTGGTGTCCTTGGAACCACATCAATAAGAAGAATGTCTGGTGGGAAAGGACAGAAGAATTCATGGAAGAATAATTAGTAAAGCTCACTGTGAAGGCTCCAGGTGTTTCTTGAAACATGTACCTCTCTGTTGTTATTAGGAAACTCTTAAAATTATGGCAGAAACTCTCCAAAACAAGACTGAACCCCACCTTTTCCTGCCCCTTGATTTGGGCGCCTCCTCACCACACTTCCCTTGTGTCTCTGAGCCTCCATCAACCAGGAGACGCAGTGCTGCCCCAAACTGGTGCTGGCTGGTGGAGGCTGAGACACTGAGCTACATCAGTGTGCTGGGCAGGTGGCCCTGAGCCTCTAGGGAGGCAAGGGGCCCTTGAACCCACAAAATCATATACCAGGAAATGCAGGTCTGTGGATGGCTGTTTTTAAGGCAGGAGGAGTGGATAGCTCTCCTGAGGTTTGAAGAGATCTTTGATAATGTTACAAAAGGCAGTTCAGAGGAACAGGATCATATCATAATGAACGCGTAAATGCATCGCAGGGGATGAGGGATCAGACAAGGAATGCRTGTGGGGAGGACACAGCTGTCGGGGCACAGCTGGAACACTGAGGCAGGCATGGAGATTGTCAAGGATACTGTGTGCCTGACGCTCGGGGCTGGGTCCCCACCTCAGCCTATCTTCAATTGTTATTACCTCAGGGACRAGGAACAGAAGGAATATAGTTTAAAGGCTCTTCCAATGGGCTTAGCTCACAGACATACACAGACAAATATGAAAATAATTAAAGAAGTCATTAGTGACTAATGCAGAATCGAGACAGATGGAGTGACAGCAAATCAGGCAAATAAAGAGTTAAATGACTGAATACCTGGCATAATCTCCACAGCAAAACTGGGCAAGAGATCAGCAAGCAGCCCTGTCCTGCCTAGAAGAGTGGAAAGAAAAGAAGGAGGAAAGAGGTTACTCCAGAGGGAAATGCAGCCTGGAACCTGGCCCCGCTGCCATCCCCACGCRGCCACCCGTCTGCGACTCTGTGGTCCGAGAGGCACATCACCACGGCTGGGCTCGGTCAACAGAAGGACCTCCTCCTCAGCCTTGGGCAGTCATCTAAGTGAAGCCTGCCCTAGGCCAGGTGGAAGCGGAGACAGAGGAAAGATTCTGCTGGAGCAGCCTCCATGGCCCCCTGCTCTCACTCCCCGCCCATCCTCCCGCTAAGTCAAGCCATCTGCATCAGTCTCCATTTTCATCCATCCATACAGTCCTACATCCATACAAAAACAGAAGTACATATTTGGTTTTAACTCAGGATTATCTTGCTACATGATTCTATTTATGGCCTAAAGATGTTTCAATGATTAAAATTTTCAAAGGCAAGGAAAAGATAAAGCTAGATCAGCTACACACTCCTCTCCACTCCTGGCTGGAAGCACTCTGTGCATATGTAGATGGTGTGGCTTTTCCATATGGTACCCACAGCTGGCGTTAGGTACCCCAGGGCCTTCTGCGTGATATGGCATGGAGGCTCAACGGCTGGTGTCAGAACAGGTGCCCCACAGGGGCTCTGGAAGGCAAGAGCCATAYGGGAAACAAGATGCTGGAAGGGGCGAGAGAGAGCTCAGTCCTTTTTAAAACCAGCCTGACCTTTAGAAAGCTATTCTGATGCCTTCACAGATTCCCATAAAGGTAAATGATGAGGCCTGTTAGATACCCCCACGCTGGAGCCTTGCTCAGCCACTGATGTTCTGCACCAGGACACAACTAGCAAACCTCCCTCCTCTCCGAGTTGTGATGGGGAAGGTCACTGTGCCACCTGAGCATCCAACTGAATTCTGTTTCACCGAGGGGCATGACATCCATCTCTAGAACAGCACCATCCACTGGAGGTGCAGCCACCAACACACACCATTATATTTAAAGTGTAAAAGTAAATTAATTCAAACATTTTTTTTAAACTTATACTAGTATCAACAACTAATCATCATTTCAAGAATTCTGTGACCCCACATAGCTACCGGACAGCAGAGCTCTGGGGCCTCTATCTTGGCAGCTTCTGTCATCAATGGCTTTCCTGTTGTGAGGCTCACCAATGATTTGGACCACGGCACATGCAGACATGTCTTAAATGCTGGTGTGCTTGAGACCAAGAGTCAACACGAGCCTGGCTTCTCACGTCACCAGGTGCACCAGGGGGCAGAAGGACCTGCTAATCGTCCAGGTCAAAAAACAGCAATGGAAATCCACAACCTACATTTTCTTACACTCATTCACAGTCCTGTTTCCATACAAAAATAAAATCCATGCCTGTGGATTTGGCTCACTTAGAAAACAACTCTTTCCTGTCAGTCTCTTGAGTGCTTTAGAGAAAAGGCTGCCGTGTGTGTGTGGGGGGGGGGGCTGATATTTTGAATCTAAAAGTCACAGCTGGTCACCAGTCCCCACTTCTAGAAGACACTCCACAAGAAAGAAGTTCTGACCAGGGGCAAAGAGGAAAGGGCACCTCCAGCGCACCAGGGGGACGTGGTAGCCAGGACACAATGTCAGAGCGTGGGGCAGCAGAGAACCTTGCTCCCCTGGCCTTTCCTCAGCTGGCCTCCACGAAGGGAGGCAAAGGTGGCAGTGTGCATCCGGGTCATGCCTCCTGCCGGGTCCCACGCAGGGAAAGTGAGACTTTTACTCCAAGGGAACAGCAGGGGTCACTCAGGCCAACTCTGCTTTAGGCCTTAGCCAGAGGAGCGTCCTTCTTTCTGTCCTCCAGCCCACACAGCTGATCTGTGAGATGCTGCTCGCAGGGTCCCTGAGGAGGACCAGCGGGAGCCAAGCAGAGCCCTGGGGAAGCACCCTAAGGAGACTTCCTGGCCAGCCTTTCACTGCAGCCCCAAGGCCCCCACAGTTCCCACAGCAGGAGACCAGACAGGTTTGGGACCAAAGTCTGAGCAAGTGATGAACAGTGGGCACAGTCTCATCTGGAGTGTTCTCTGCGGATATCTCTTGCAGACACAGTGAGGCCGTAGGCGGTTGGTCAAAGACTTGGGCATTTGGGATCTTAGATGGCTCTTGCAGACACAATTCACACTCACTGCCCGGCCTAGCCAATCAAGGAATCTAGAGGCAGTGCTGGTCAGCAGGTCAGTCTCCATAGACTGACTTAGTGGGGAACATTTGCTATGTTTTTTTTTTTTCCCTGCCTGGACAATTGGTATGTCCGAGTGGATCTCTCATTGTCCAGCCTATTAGTGCTTCGAGATCTCTGCAGGTTCTGTGGTACAAACCATTAATCAGAGTCACAGCAGAAATGCCACTGATGATGTCAGCTTTCCTTGTAGCTCTCATGGGACATTAGTTACGTGGTAATTATTCACCCCTACTTTCCAGGAGGATATGGATTAGATTCAGCCTGTTATGTTAGGAAAAGCAGTGGATGGGAGTCAAGATAGTTAGGGCAGATAGGTCATGAGTTGATTCAGTACCTCCTACAGGCAAATTACATCCCCTTTCTAGGTCTCAGTTTCCTCTTTCATAAGAAGAAGTTGAATGTGGTGGTGTGAAAATGGGTTTGTTGGGACCATCCTGATTTATGCCTATGACCATGGTTAATTATTAACAACACCCCTGTTTACTCAGAGAATTCTAGTTGGGCAGTTGATTATGTGCTCACCCTCTCTATAAATTTTTGATTCTCAAATCCAATACTCAGTGATTGGAGTGGCAAACTGAAATGTGTATAGGGACCAGCAGGTAATGCAAATTAAATGAGTACGGCTGCCCAATGTGAGACACCAGGGAGGGGTCAGGGGTGTAGAAAACAGCAGGGTCTTACCAGTGGGCATCTGTTGCCCCCCGGAAGTTGTCCTGAGAGTGGAGGCAAACCCATTATTCAAGATTCCCTAGATTCTATGTAAAATGTCACGATTTTCAAGTGTTGGGCGATTAACGAACACATTTTTTAAATGGAAGACAAGTCAAAGGGGATATGCCTGTAGGTACAGAGCCCAGAGACCATGAACCTGCCTCTGAAGGCTCACAGTGGCAAAGCCAAAAGCCAGGTCTCCCCAGAGGCTCTTTAGATCACCTTGATGGTGTTCTCACATTGCTCCCACACACAGAATGACAAAAATGTAAGCTCTAGGCCCTTATGTCCAAATTAAAACTTCAAATAACAGCATGACACACCAAATTGTTAGTCTTTCTAATTTTGGGGCGCTAGAAAGAGCATCCCGGAGAACAATGAACAGGCTCTCTGTTTTCATTCTAGGCTGCTTCACTTCTCTTAAGATAAAAAATTAAAACAAGGAGAGAGTATATCAGAAGTATGGACCAGGAATCCACCAAGGCTGTGGCTCCAGGAAGACCTACATCCAGCAGCTTCCTGAAGCCTCAGTCCACACCGACCCCTCGGAAGGTGGAGACCTCCCACAGAGCTCTTGACTACCACTGGCCCTGGGGTGGGGTGGCAACGGACTCTGCAGTGAAGGGGGTGACATTCAGTGTTTTGAGTCCAGAACACGGGGAGCTGGGTAGAGCAGACACCATCACTGTATCCACAGCAGAGTGAGAGCAAAGCTCTGGCTTTTCCACCATGACTTACATTTTACTGGAGTGAGAGACTTTAAAAAAAAAAAAAAAAATATATATATATATATATATATATATATATATTTAGTTGTAGATGGACACAATACCTTTATTTTATTTATTTCTTTTTATGTGGTGCTGAGGATTGAACCCAGTGCCTCACACATTCCAGCTCTACCACTGAGCCACACCCTGGCCCTGGAGTGAAAGACTTTTGAAACTTGGGTTTGTGCTGGAGTCCTAGATTTCTCATCATCAATTTGCTTTCAACTCTGCCCCTGACAGACCCTCAGCAATGCTACCGTTCTCTTCTCCCCCTCCTCGTCTGTGTGCGAGGGAAGTCTGCTCCTCCGGCATCTAAATGGCTGTGGTGAACACATTCCAGGCTTCAGCAGCACTCTCCCAATTCCCGAAAATCACCATTATTCTTCCAGGGCTTCACTCAAGAGTGGCAATTACAAGTCACTTTACAGTCTGAGGAAATGCTGGAAAGCACACCCTGCAGATAGAAGGCCACATTTACTCTTTTCAAACCAAAGCTCAAACTATCCACGGAAAATACAGTTTTCCTGTAAGCACTCAAACAGTTTTCTCCAAACCTTGCAAAATCCATTACTTGAAAGAAATTTCCATATGAATACTCACAATGAATGAGATCTGCTAATGGCCTGGCATGCACACACCAGTGCCAGGTTCAGGCAGCACTGTCACAGAGTCCACCGCCAGGTATGGCAAGGTACTGTGGGGTGAATGTTCCCAGTAGAAGCAGGCACTGCCAACAAAACACCTAATATCTTATCTATATAGCTGCCGACTCCAGCTGTTTTCTGCCTCTGCCATCTTGAAGTCATCCCCAACTGAAGTGTCTGGACACATTCCCAGGAACCAGCTCGCTCTGTGAGGTCTCCAACCCATTCACTCACTCATTCATTCAACACAGAAGTGTTTACTATACCAGGTGCAGACAGAAACAGGACCAGGACATGGCCCCTTGGGATGCTTAAGAGTCTCAGTGTAGCCCATGCCCACACAGCCTCCAACAGCATGAGCAGAACTTGGTTTTAGTTACCTGCCTTTGTGTCACAAGACTCACCAAAGTCAAAGGAGTTTCTTCCTGCAAATCTGCCTTTCTCTGCCTCTTCAATATCATGTTCCATCTGGCCCCAGGCCTTTCCCCAGAGACTCGGTCCTTGCCTAGCTTCCTACTCCTCTATTCAGAGTGTTATCTCTGCACCTTTCACAATGACTGTGTCCGGAGATATTTCCTCCAATCCTCTAACACTCATGTCTTAGAAGGCCAGGCCCCTTAAGGCGGAATTTACCTAACTTCTTCACTAAGGTAAGCATTTATCA